CCCCCCCCCCCCCCCCCCCCCCCCCCACGGCAAAGAAAAAGCCTCCGCCAAGGGCACACGCTACAAACAGGCTGGGAAATGACGCAAGTCAGGGACAGCCCGACGGTTCTTAAAGCATCGGACTGTGGGTGGGGAGCGGAATGGCTTGTCCCGGACTCGCCTGACGGTCAGCCCGGGCTGACAAACAGCCCATCACCCGCTTCAGTTTTCCACATCCTCCCCATGCTAGAGAGGCTCCCATCAGTTAGTTGCCCCCCGTCCACCACCACCAGCACCACGCCCCTCCGAAGCTGCAGATATCGGTCCGAACCGCTGATGCTGGATGGTCAATGCAATTTGGCCGACTCAGTAACAGGTAGTTACCATATGAACCCCGCCCAGCTTCCCCCCCCTCGACTTAAAGCTACACACACAGAAAAAACACCGCACTTGAGTTCTCACAGCATCGAATTCGGTTATGAAGTACTTGTGCTATCTCTGAATGTCCCACCCTAGACCCTGTCACTCAACAGGTCAGGGATCTTGACGGGTTCTGTCTAGGCAAGTTGGAGCATGTAGAGACCCCCTGCCCCCGGAGAAAAACCTAACTCGTGAAGTGTCCACCACACCCCCCCCCAAAAAAAAAACAGAACCACTTCGAAATATCACTTCCCCTTTGTTCCGTAACAAACGTCAAACTGTATCTACTTAATCATACAAGTACGGTTTAGTACCCACAGCCTAAGTGACTCCTCCCCTTTCTCGGAACTGCTAAATCTACAATAAAGGGACATTATCCTGCAAAAGGGGTGAGAAAAAAAAACCGCACAATTAGAACAAACTTATTTAGCCCGCACGAAAAATCGAGGTCGCTTCTAAAAGAGAAGTGCCGTAAGTGAAGTCGGAGGATCATACTGTCCCAGCTTAAAATACAAAACAAAGTCCACAGTATTAACCACTACAGTTAATCGCCATTAACGTGCCCCCTTAGTTTACACTATAAAAACAGCGTGGTAACAAAAGACGAAAGAATGCGAGTGTACAAGAACAAAGAAATTCACAGGACCATCAAGGCACAAAAATGAAACGTGGCGACAACTTTTTGTTTCAAGGGTTGGGGGAGAGAGAGGCGGGAGGAGAAAATAAAGCCTTGGGTTTTCTACCTGTGTGAGTTCTCATGTGCGCTTTCAGATGGGACGATTTGCCGTACACTTTGCCGCAGCCGGTGAAGTAGCACTGATGCTTCTTCACCGCACACTTGTCCGAGCGCCTGCTTTTCCGCTTCTCCGGCGTAGAGTTTGCGGTGCCTAGGGTCGGGGTGCCGGGACCCTCGGACAGGGTGGTGTAGCCGCTCTCCAGGCTCTCCCCCGACGACGATGAGGAGTTGCTGCTCTCCGAGTTGGACGACATGGGCCGGGATTTCTGCAGGTCGGTCAGAATACTGGCTACCAGCAGCAGGTTACCTCCACCAGCACCACCTCCTCCTCCACCTCCTTCCTTCAGCGTGTCGCTGACTTCTTTGTCCTCCCGGGAACTTTCCTCGTCTTTGACCGGCGAGCGGTGCACCACCGCCCCACTGGAGATGGACATGAGGCACTCGGCGGCGAAATAGTCGCGACAGGCGAAGACAGACATAGCCAGGGAGGGGGGAAAGCCAGTCTCTGTGTTATGTATGTGTGAGAGACAGAGAGAGAGAGAGAGAGAGAGAATTGGGATCTCCCTCCACACCCACCCACCTACCTACCTACCTCCCTCCCCCAGGAACTGCTAAATAAAGCAGATATACCTCTGTGTGTGACTTCCCCCCCCCCCCCCTCCCTCCCACCCCCAGCTGGGTGCGAAGCAGCGATCTGAACCCCACTGTGCCGTGGCCCCGCTGCTTTGTCTGGGAGAGAGGGGTCTACGTGTTCCCCGCCTCCTCCGAAACGGCCTGTGACGCGTCGGGCGGATCCCAGACTCTGAGCCACTTGGGTGACGCGCATTTATTGACGTTGAAAACTCCTGTCTCCAAGGCTAGGAGAGAGAGAGAGAACATCATTTCATATCTACATCTTTTAAAAAAGTTTGGCATCTCCCCAAAATTTCAGAAACCTTCCACAGCTCCCCCCCACCCCACCACCTATCAAAAATAAACAACTAAGTCGTGCGTGAGATCGAAACTGCTTTTCTGTGTCGTTTCCAGGCCGCTCTATAATGCGGGCGTTATCGTGAATTCGCAGATGATGTTAAATTGAACGGGGGAGGTGTAATCACCAGAGAGAGAGAGAGAACGTGTTGGTGGGCGAAACTCTAGAGATTTGCCACAGAAGTGTAGAACGCTGGTAGAGTTTTTAATAACATAAAAGGTGGGGTATAATTGTTCAGCAATTCCAAAGCATTGCATCGATATGGTAAACCCGGAAACGAGAGTTCCAGCCCAGCCCAGCCTGTGACCCTCCATCCTCCAACAGACTGATAACCATCTTCAGTCTGGCTGCATAGGGGAAACAAAGACTGAAAGAAATCTGCAAGTGACTGAACACGTTGTTATTTGGAACGTTCAGCCCAAATTATCGTGCTCGACCCTCCTCCTATCTTTAACCCAATCAGCATAACCTTCCTCTCCCACACCCACCCCACCCCTTGTCTATATTCTAGCTTTTACTTTATTGTGTCTCAATTACATTTGCGTGCCACATTTTGGTCACTCGCTGAGTAAGGAGGTTTCTCCTGTTGGATTTATTAATGACAATCTTGGTCCCCAGTTTTGTCCTCTCCATTCTCTCTGCACCCCGCTCACAACAAGTGTTTCATAATCTTAAACATCTCTGCCAGGTCACGTCTTGTCTTCCTCCTTTCTAAACATTCTCAGATTGTAAAATTTTAAATGATTATTATAACCTTATCCTCTGCTTTTCTTTCCATTCAGCACTATGGAGACCAGAACGGTGCACAATAGCTAGGTGTTGTTTAAGTAATGCCGCCTTACAATTTGTCAGGTAGATTTTCTTCCTTTTAGTAAAACAGTAGACCAGTTGGAAACAGTGTTTTAATCCAAAAGATCTTGTCAGCCTTTGGTTCAAACATAGTTTTACATCCTGTTTCAGGAGGTCAAGGGTTCAATTCTGAGATAGTAAGAACTGCCGATGCTGGATTCGGAGATAACACAGTGCGGAGCTGGATGAACACAGCAGGCCAGGCAGCATCAGAGGAGCCGGAAAGCTAAGGGTTCAACTCTCTTGCATCTAAATACGCAATTAAGGTAGTACTGAAAGTGCGCTGCACTGCTGGTGTTGTTTCCCAAAATGATGTGAAATCAAAATCCTGCATGAATTCTCCGTCAACTACAATTGGTAAAAAGAACCAAGGGATAGCCCAGTGTACAGGCCAACATTTATCCTCCAACCAGCATCTCTAAAAAGTATATCTGACATTTATCTCATTGCTATTTGAAAGACTTTGTTATATCTACATCACGACAGTGACTGCAGTTCAAAAGCATTTAACTGGCTGTGAAATATTTTGTGATAAGTTGCAAACAGTGTTATATAAATTCAAGTTCTTTATTTTACATCAACACACATTTAAAAAGTGCTTCTGACATAAAACAAATATAGAATTTTGCTTAACCAAAGAGAAGATATTAAGACAGATGACCTATGTTAAAAATGGAAAACAATTAGGAGCTGAACCATTAGGAGACTATGCCTGAGTGAGACACAAACTAAGTTAATCGTGCATTAGGTTCAAGCAGGAAAATTTGGCCAATCTTTCTTCTGTTTTAAATATAGATATGAGGAGTTGGGCTTTGACATAGTTCTAACAAACTTGATGTAACTCCATTGTACTATTAAACAGGATTATCATGTTAACTTGGAAGTGGCAGTTTCTGTCAATGAGCTAAAAGTAGTTAGTTCAACTGGTGTCAATTACTGTACCAGGAGGATAAACTAGTTAGTCAATCATGCAGCACTATATAAGGGGCAGTTTTCAGGTCAGAGGATCTTCTTGTGGTTCTTTTTAAAATTCATTCATGGGATGAGGGTGTGGCTGGCTAGCATTTATTGCCCATCCCTGATTGCCCAGAGGGCAGTTAAGAGTCAACCACATTTTTGTGGGTCTGGTGTCACATGTAGTCCAGACCAGGTAAGGATGGCAGTTTCCTTCCCTAAAGGACATCAGTGAACCAGTTGGGTTTTTCCCAACAATTGACAATGGATTCATGGTCATCATTAGATTCTTAATTCCAGACAATAATTGAATTGAATTGCTTTTTTGTGTACAGGATGTACCTGAGCAAATTTGCCATGGCGGGATTCGAACCCAGGTTCCCAGAACATTAGAGACAACAAGGTGCAGGGCTGGATGAACACAGCAGGCCAAGCAGCATCATAGGAGCAGAGAGGCTGACGTTTCGGGCCTAGACCCTTCATCAGAACATTATCTGGGTTTCTGGATTAACAGTCCAGCAATAATACCACCATGCCATTGCCTCCCCAGTCTGCTCCTGAGTCTGGCCAAACTGGCCATTAACAGGTTCAGGCAGCGGGCTATGGGGAGCCTGCCACTCTTTCACCATTATGTTTGTGCCTGGGTGTCCTTGGAGAGGGAGCTTGCGATCTCCACCAACACTCTCGATGCCGTGGTGGGTGGAGTGCTTCACTTCCTCTAATTCTATTTTGATTTGATCAGTATCCTCTCCTTCACTTTTTCTTTCACATAGGCATTGCCCTACTGGGGTCTGCCTGGCACTGGTTCCCTAGCCACATGGTTGTTTCTCCTGGTGGTGGAAAATATTGAATAAAATTATTTTGCATATGGTGTTTTTAGACTCTTGCACTTACACACACACAGTACAGGTGCTGTGGGGAAAAATAAACACTACTGCTGTAAATAAAGAGGAAAATTAAAAGAGGAGAAAAAAGAGATATAAGAGGCAGTTTTTTTAAAAACCATGTGGACTGTGGGTTGCACAATCAGAATATGCTTGAGTGGGATGCAAACCAAGTGAGTAGCAAAATAGATTTCCATGGAAATTTGAGAGAAAGTGGTGCTTTAAGTAAAGTTTGTTGCAACTAGTAGAATGTGTTAAACATTTAGTACTGGATTTACCAGTATTAGTACAGTTTATCAATAGTTGTGAGGTTTATTAAGGCCAATTAAAACAAACTCAATATTAAACATTAAGATCTAATCTCTGCAGTCCTGCTACATCCAATGATGAATGGTGGTAACAATTAAACAACTCACTGGATGAGGACACTCCACAATTATCCCCATCCTCAATGTGGAAGAGTCCAGCACATCAGTTGAAAAGATAAGCCAGAAGTATTTGCAGCAATCTTTAACCAGAAGTGCTGAGTGGATGATCCATCTCGGCCTCCTCCAGTGGTCCCCAGTATCACGGATGCCAGTTTTCAGGCAATTTGATTCACTCCATGTGATACCAGGAAAGAGTTGGAGGCCCTGACAACATTACAGCAATAGTGCTGAAGACGTGCTCCAGAACTTGCTGCACCCCTGACTAAGTTGTTCCAGTACAGCGACAACAATGACAATTACCCAACACCGAAAATTTGCCCAGGTACATCCTGTACACAAAAAAGCAAGATAAATCCAATCCAGCCAGTTACCACCCCATCGGCTACTCTTGATCATCGGTAAAGTGACAGAAGGTGGCATCAACAGTGCTATCAAGCAGTACATGCTCAGTAATAACCTACTTAATGATGCCCAATTTGGGTTGCCCCAGGGCTACTCAGCTCCTATCCTTATTATAGCTTTGGTTCCAACAAGGACAAATGAGCTGAATTCCAGAGGTGAGGTGTGAGTGATAGCCCTTGACATCAAGGCCACATTTGACCAAGTGAGGCATCAAGGAGCTTGGTAAAACTGGAATCAGGAGCAAACTCTCCATTGGTGGAGTCAGACCTGCCACATAGGAAGATCAGAGATAATAGGAACTGCAGATGCTGGAGAATCCGAGACAACAAGGTGCAGGGCTGGATGAACACAGCAGGCCAAGCAGCATCATAGGAGCAGAGAGGCTGACGTTTCGGGCCTAGACCCTTCATCAGAAAAGGGGGAGGGGAAGGGGGTTCTGAAATAAATAGGGAGAGAGTGGGAGGCGGATAGAAGAGGGATAGAGGAGAGGAAACAAACAGGTCGAAGAGGCGGGGATGGAGCCAGTAAAGGTGAGTGTAGGTAGGGAGTTAGGAAGGGATAGGTCAGTCCAGGGAGGACGGACAGGTCAAGGGGGCGGGATGAGGTTGGTCGGTAGGAGATGGAGGTGCGGCTTGAGGTGGGAGGAGGGGATAGGTGGGAGGAAGAACAGGTTAGGGAGGCAGGGACGAGCTGGACTGGTTTTGAGATGCGGTAGGGGGAGGGGAGATTTTGAAACTTGTGAAATCCACATTGATACCATTGGGCTGCAGGGTTCCCAAACGGTATTTCAGAACCCCCTTCCCCTCCCCCTTTTCTGATGAAGGGTCTAGGCCCGAAACGTCAGCCTCTCTGCACATAGGAAGATCGTTGGGTTGTTGGAGGTCAGTCATCTCAGCTCCAGGACATCTCAGCAGGAGCTCCCCAGGGTAGCATCCTAGGCCCAACTGTCTTCAGCTGCTTCATGAATGATCCTGCCGCCATCATAAGGTCAGAAGTGGGGATGTTCTCCGATGATTGCACAATGTTCAGCACCATTTGTGATTCCTCAGATTCTGAAGCAATCTATGTTCAAATGCAACAAGATCTGGATAATATCTGGCCTTGAACTGACAAATGGCAAGTAACATTTGTGTCACACATATACCAGGCTGTGACCATCACCAACAAGAGACAATTTAACCACCGCCCCTTGACATTCAATGGTGTTACCATCACTGAGTCCCCCACTATCAACATCCTAGAGGTTACCATTGACCAGAAACTCCACTGGTCTTGCCACATAAACACAGTAGTTACAAGAGTGGGTCAAAGGCTAGGAATACTATGGCGAGTAACTCGCCACCTGACTCCCTAGGACACCGGATGAAGGATGTAAACCCGAAACATTGAATTTCCTGCTCCTCTGATGCTACCTGACCTGCTGTGTTCCTTCAGCTCCACACTGTAGTGACATGTTCAGGGAGAAGGTCACTCCACTGGCTAGAAGCATGGAAACTAAAAGGGGATGGCTGACCACCAGCAAGCTCAAGAGAATGAGGGAGTAATACAGAAATCCTTCAAAGACCATCTTTCACTAATTTTTTTTTTGGATATTGGTAACAGCACTAGTTCCTCTGAAGGGTACAGGCAGCCAAATTCATGACACCATAAGGCATAGCTGTGTAAAAGGGGAGGAAGAAGAGAGTGCAAGAAAGAAAGAGGATTTGATAGTTTGGGGTGGCATTCATGTGCTTCTGTAGCATTGATGTGACTCCAGGATGGTATATTGCCTCTCTGGTGCCAGGGTCAAAGGCATCATGGAGCAGTTACATTCTCTTGGGTGAGGGTGAATAGCTTGAGGTCAGGTCCAGATCAGTACCAATGGCATGGATAGGAACAGGACATGAGATCCTGAAAGAAGATTTCAGGAATACAAGAAAGAGATTGAGAAACAAAACCCTTAAAGCAAAAATCTCAGGATTACTTTCAAACTCACATGTTAGTGAGCATAGAAATAGAAGAATTGAGCAAATAACACATGGTTGGAGAGCATGGGGGAGGAGGAAGGGCATCATATCCCATTTCTGAGGCATTGGGACCAGTTCTGGGGCAGGTGGGACCTCTATAAGATGTGTGTCTGAAGCGGCAGGCTGAGGAGCTAACTAGAGATCAGGCTATTTTGTGTGAAGTGTTGTATAAAGAGAAATGGCTGATTAATAGCTTTAATGTAAAGGAGACTTTGGAAAATAGTGACCATAAACTTATAGAATTTCACATTAAGTTCAAATGCAATATAGGCCTATGATAAGCGGAGAAGGTGAATTTGTAGTGGAGAACAGAGAAATGGTGATGAAACTAAACTAGTCATATTACATCTGTCTTCAGAGGATAATCCAAAAAAAAACCCAGAAAAAACAAGACGATTGAGAAACTTGTAAAACTGAGGAGCTAAAAGAAATTAATGTTAACAAAGGGGTAGTAATGTACTTGAAAAGTTGACTGGATTGAAGGTTGATAAATCCCCTGAACCAGATGAGCTTTATTCCAAAGGGGTGTAAGAGGTGGCCAAAGTGATAGTGGTGGTTGTCTTTCAAAATTTTATGGCTTCTGGAAAGATCCCTGTGGATTGGAAAGTGGCAAATGTAACTCCACTTTTGACAAAGCGAGTAAGAGAGAGATTGGAGAATTTCAGACCAGTTAAGTTGACGTTGGTAGTAGGTAAAATGTTAGAATCTATCATAAAGGATGTTATAACTGGACATTTAAGAAAGAGTGGTGAAATTATTGAGAGGTGACATGGATTTATGTGAAGGGAATTTTGTTTGACAAACTTGTTGGGAGTTTGAAGATTTCTTTTGAAGATGTAGCATTTAAAGGGAAAGCCAGTGGATGTGGTGTATTTTCAGGTTTTTGAAAAGATCACATGCAGGGAGTCAGTTAATAAAATTAGTCCACATGGGATTGGGAAAAATGTTAGTACAGATTGCAAATTGTTGAAAAAACAAAAGCAGAGAATGGGAGCAAATGGATCATTCTCAAGATGACTGGCTGTTAATTGTGTACCACAAAGGTCAGTGTTCGGTCCACGATTGCTCACAATCAATATAAATGACTCAGATTTGGGGGGCAAATTGTAATATTTCCCACCAAACTATTGGGATCATAATTTGAGAGACAGATGCAAGGAAGATTCCAGAAGGCTTGGACAGGCTAAGTGAATGGGATAGAATATAGTAGATGGAATATGTAAGTGTGAAATTATTCATTTTTGTCGGGATAAAACAGAGACAAGATATTTCTGGGATGTGAGAGGTTGGGAAGTGCACTGTCCAAAGAGCCCTGGGTGACCCTGTTTATAAGTCATAAAAGTCTGCATGCAAGTGCAATAAGCAAACAGGAAGGCAAATGATATAACAAGGTGTAGAGCTGGATGAACACAGCAGGCCAAGCAGTATCAGAGGAGCAGGAAAGCTGACGTTTCGGGTCGAGACCCTTCCTCAGAAATAGGGGAGGGGAAGGGGAATTTGAAATAAATAGGGAGAGAGGGAGAGGCGGATAGAAGATGGATAAAGGAGAAGATAGGTGGAGAGGAGACAGACAGGTCAAAGAGGCGGGGTTGGAGCCAGTAAAGGTGAGTGTAGGTGGGGAATTAGGGAAGGGATAGGTCGGTCCAGGGAGAACGGACAGGTCAAGGAGGCGG